ATTAGTCCAGGCTATTTTCCATGGATTTTACTCTGCGCATCTTTTCCCATCTTCTGCCACACACATGAAAACACGCCACAAACACTTGGAACTTGCTGTAAAATTGTGCACGAGAAGAACGCCTCCAGAAGTGTTGTTCTGATCATTTTAATCCTCGAGAAAGATACTTTTTAATATCGGGGATACAAGCTGCGTTTGTCGGATGCAAGCTGGGATACAATGTGGGTTTAGCAGCTTTACAAAGGTTTTAAATGTACTGGGGAAAGAACATCACTTAAGTGAAGTATTTAACATTTTCCCAAAAGAGTCAGTCATACAGATAAAAATAGTTTTAATGGTAAATAAATGACTAAAACACTTCTATCTTCTTATACCTTGATTAAGTCTGCTTTATGAAGTAACTAATACTTCTACGACTGAAGATCCAGGTCACTTGCCCGGCCCGCTTGGGTCGCTTTCTCCTTCACTGAACATGTTGAGGACTTAAACATGCTCCTCTGTGGAGCCAACAACTCCACACTGAGGGTTATGGCTTGGTTGAGAGGGCTTTGTATTGGGTCACTGCTGCTTGTTTCCAGTCAACACACCCACTCACCCTTCTCAAAACTGGCACAGTCACTGTCAGTAAAAGACTGAGAGATATGAGTACGCGGGAAATTTGTGGTGTATGTGTGCGAGTGTTTGCGTGTGCATGTGCATGTGTGTATTTGTAGGTGCCTGTGGTGTCAGTGGTTCTGCTTGACAGTACATGTATAGTTTTTATATCCACGTACATGTGATTGATACTACACATTGCATCAAAAAACAAAAAAACAAAAACAATAAAGGAAAAAATGTTCATCCTCTTTGTCATTGCTCTTTTTTGTTCCATTGTAGCTTATGTCTCTGTCACATATCTTGTCCACGTTATACCGATTGAAGAGTGCTTTTTTTTTTTTTTAACTTGTTAGTCTGCACTCCCTCATAAAGAACATGTGAAAACATGCGTTTTGCTACAGATAAAGCATAATAACGGTAGCCATTTCCCTGCACAAAAATATCCCATGACTTCCACAAGTGACCTCTTGTCATCTGTACAAGAAAACATGAGTCAATTAGACAATAAATTAACTTGATTAAAAAACAAAACAAAACAAAAACCCGACTCAAAAGCCTTTTCCTGTGCATGTGGATGTCATAAATGCCTAATAGCTGGGCTCACATGCATGCTCGCTAACTGACTATATGTCTTTGTAGACCAAGGTGAAATAGGGTCAAATAGGTAATACCACTCAATCTGGCAACACAATCTGGCGACACAAAGCCTATTCTACTGTTCCTGTGCTCTTATGGCTCTCATTGTGTCCTAGAGTTCACCTGCTGACCTTTACAGCTAAATTTTCAAAATAAG